TTTAGTACGACCGTTTCTGGACATTGGGGGACGCTGGCGAGAACGGGCTGGTTATCTGTTTCATATCCCTGTCTGGTTTGTATATCCAGAGATTAACCTTATCCGTTTATATCTGTTCTTATCTCTCTCTCTCTCTCTCTCTCTCTCTCTCTCTCTCTCTCTCTCTCTCTCTCTCTCTCTCTCTCTCTCTCTCTCTCTCTCTCTCTCTCTCTCTCTCTCTCTCTCTCTCTCTCTCTCTCTCTCTCTCTCTCTCTCGATCCGTTTTAATGCCTCGCTTGTTATATAAAGAATTATAATTAGTGAATATTTCAATGTAAAGTAATTTTCATATTATATCTTGGTTACTTTATTTCTTGAATATAATTATTTTTGGTTATACATTTCGTATCTGGGGTAAAAAAGCAATGTTACCAGTTATTGCCTGATGATCTTGAGAAAGGTGCAGTCATTGTGAAACTGTGGCTGACCGTCTTGTGTGATAATTTCCGCCTCCTATCGATTGATTGATTGATAAAGATTAAGCCACCCAAAAGGTGGCACGGGCATGAATAGCCCGTAAGTGGTGGCCCTTTTGAGCCATTACCAGTATCAAGAGCTGATACTGGAGATCTGTGGAGGTGCGACTGCACCCTGCGTGACGGGAGATGTCTCCCGTGGCCTCCTATCAGATTGTCGTGGGTTTAATAGCCTCCTCCTAACTGTCTTTTTTTTTAATAGCCTCCTAATGACTGTCTTTTGTTTTAATAGCCTCTTAATGGATGTCTTTTGTTTTAATAGCCTCTTAATGGATGTCTTTTGTTTTAATAGCCTCTTAATGGCTGTCTTTTGTTTTAATAGCCGCCTTATACCGACCATGAGGTTAAGCAAGGTCGAGGACCTCAACATCAGTGGATCTCATGGAATTAATAATGCTTTCGACATCTCTCTCTTGAGTTGAAGGCTCTGTTGAGCTGACAGGTCGAGCCAGGACGGGTGGAGGCTTGCCTCATCTCGCCCCCAGACCCGATTCATCACCCCAGGCCCGATTCATCATCCCCCCCCCCACTCACACTTATACGCGGTGTTTATCATTGCTGTATTGTAGAAATTGCTCTGAATTTTCTTGAATAGCTGAATTGTTCGCGAGATTCTGCATATTATGTATTTTCACAGTTACTTCAGATTCGAAGTTCACCTCTTTGACTGAGTCTGTAGAGCGCCAGCCTCGCATGATGCTAATCAGCGTTCGATTCCCGATGTGTCCAAATGATTGGATGCTGTTGCTTCACCCTGTCCCCCGTATCCCTGTTCATATTATGTGCTCATGTACGTTCCAAGTGCGATATAGTCACTTATTTGACTTAACTACCTTATTAACTAACCCTTGGTCAGCGACTGTGGCTATCGGCCGTCCTTACATTAGTCCAGGTTAAGGGAGTTTAACCGGCCCTTTCCTCCCCAGGAACACACCTTTCTCCTGCTGGGAAGGTCAGGTCTAGTCCTTTCACTCGCTCTGCCTGGACTTCATTGGACTAGGATGTGGCCCAGAGGACTCTTGAAGGTCGTTTGGACGACGCTCTGCGCGCTGCTACACCTGAAGGGATACTGGGAAAGTGTGTGTGCGTGCGTGTGTGTGTGTGTGTGTGTGTGTGTGTGTGTGTGTGTGTGTGTGTGTGTGTGTGTGTGTGTGTGTGTGTGTGTGTGTGTGTGTGTGTGTGTGTGTGTGTGTGTGTGTGTGTGTGTGTGTGTGTGTGTGTGTGTGTGTGTGTGTGTGTGTGTGTGTTCTTTCTACCATGTTTTTGTTTCAAGAATTTTGTTTAAGGGTTATAACGAGGTGAAGTTAGAAGCCGTTAACACGCAAGATATGGTAATGGAGATTGTGTCAACGGAGTGACGTACGGGAGGCTTGCGTTAGTGGAAGGGTGATGAAGCATGTTGATGGATAACGCTGGGAAAAAGAGGTACCTCAGGCTTTTGTTTAGTGTGGGTATTAAGTGAAGAAATTAGCTAGAGAAGGGTGATGGGAAGAATTAATTACTAGCAGGTGAAGCTGGAGAGCTTGGTGGAGGACGTTTAGCTGGTGAATATGAAGCTGAGAGACGAAGCTAAGAGATGGAACCGAGATACGTGTTTACAATGACATGCTGGAAATGGCAGCTGGTTCTTCTCCAGTTTACAGCATTTCATGCACTAAGGAGAGGTCTCATAGACGTCTTCAAGATGAACAACGACAATTCCTACGTATATACGTTGCAACACAATCAAAGACAACAAGTAAAGGTCACCCTACACCCACATGCATCCCTCCAATCAGAATTTGTTTTTATTATCACTAAGGGTATTAAATTAACTAAACCTGTTTATTTTTTCGTTATTTGAAAGGCTTGTGTGAGTGTAAGTATGAGGGCCAGTGTGTAAGAGTGAGTCTTTGAGTTCAAGTGTGTATTGGGTTAAGTATAATAGCGAGAATGTGTGCTTCTGTGAGTGCGAGTGTGCAAGTGTGAGTAATCACAAGACTCTGATACACTTTTGCCTCAGAATATCGCAATATTGCCCAAGCAAAGTTGTAATTGACAGCTTCGAGCGCTGCAAAGAATTCGAGTCAGATGGTAAAGGTTGCATGATTGATCAGCCTTCAACAGTAGATTTATTTAGTAAAATGTTGTAATAAACTCAATATCACTGAAAAATAATAATTTTAAAGATTAAATAAAGTAAAAACTAAACTTTTTCAAAATAAAAATATTTTTTTGTGTGTTTTTCGTGTTATATATAGCTAAGGTACACAGGAAAATAACATAAGAATTATGAATTTTTCAAAGAAGGAATTTGTTATTGATCAGTTCTGCTCGTTAGGAACAGTTAGTTCCGTTCACTCGGACTAGTTAGTTCCGTTCACTCAGACTAGTTAGTTCCGTTCACTCGGACTAGTTAGTTCCGTTCACTCGGACTAGTTAGTTCCGTTCACTCGGACTAGTTAGTTCCGTTCACTCAGACCTGTTGGTTCCATTCACTCAGACCTGTTGGTTCCGTTCACTCTGACCTGTTGGTTCCATTCACTCAGACCTGTTGGTTCCGTTCACTCAGACCTGTTGGTTCCATTCACTCAGACCTGTTGGTTCCGTTCACTCAGACCTGTTGGTTCCATTCACTCAGACCTGTTGGTTCCATTCACTCAGACCTGTTGGTTCCATTCACTCAGACGTGTTGGTTCCATTCACTCTGACCTGTTGGTTCCGTTCACTCAGACCTGTTGGTTCCGTTCACTCAGACCTGTTGGTTCCGTTCACTCAGACCTGTTGGTTCCGTTCACTCTGACCTGTTGGTTCCATTCACTCAGACCTGTTGGTTCCGTTCACTCTGACCTGTTGGTTCCGTTCACTCAGACCTGTTGGTTCCGTTCACTCAGACCTGTTGGTTCCGTTCACTCAGACCTGTTGGTTCCATTCACTCAGACCTGTTGGTTCCGTTCACTCTTGTCAAAGATTGATGATGTCTTTGATCATCAATAAAAACTTGTCCTTACGTCTTGGGAGATGCTGTTCTTCTTGGGGACCTCGTAGCTGCCACCTCCTGCCCTCCTCATTACCTTCTCCTGCCTTCCTGCAGGCTTCCTCATTATCTCTGCTGGCTTCCTCATTATCTCTGCTGACTTTCTCATTACCTCGTTGCTATCCACCTGTTTGCTGCTCCCTACTGGTCTTCAGGTAGCCACCTGTTTGTTTTCTACAATATAGAAATTCAGTTTGATTTCATGTTTCAATTTTCAACTTGCAAATCATCAGGCTATTGCAAGAACTATATCTATAGCGCATAGTTTGCCGTGATTAGACACCGTGATACAATCTGGTTTTAAGTCACATTGTATACTTATTTAGAGTTGCCTTAAGGTTGTCACAGAAGTGTAGAGAGAGATTATGAAGACTTTTCTGTGGTGATCTTAACAACAGGAAGAGTACTGAAGCCATCACCACCTGCTTGCTCTACAGTCTTGGTTTTGCCCTGTCACAAGCCCTTAAAAGATATCTTTGTCTTTTCGTTAGATCAAGATTAGAAGCTGGAAGATGACACACACACACATGGTTATAAAAGGAGAATTAAGTAAGCGATTGGGGGCCGTTCTGGACCTCTTTAAAGATCTCCTGTTTCTTAGTTTAAACTTAATAAGGGTTCAAGAGGGACTGAAACGTCGTCTCATAAGAGCCTAGTTTCCGTCTCATAAGGGCCTAGTTTCCGTCTCATAAGGGCCTAGTTTCCGTCTCATAAGAGCCTAGTTTCCGTCTCATAAGGGCCTAGTTTCCGTCTCATAAGGCCTAGTTTCCGTCTCATAAGAGCCTAGTTTCCGTCTCATAAGGGCCTAGTTTCTAATTCTCTTTTTATTTTGATTTAATTGTTTTGCATTCATTTCTCCTCTATATATTTTATTCCTAATTGTTTTTTGTTTGTTTTTTAAGTTTTATCGCCTTTAACTAACGGCCCATTTCATTCATGATATATGACATTAAAATATTAAAAGTGTTATTTATAATACTAAAAAGTAAAAACAAATTATATATGTCATGACTTGTGCACATGGTAAGATAAATATGATGAGAATGCGCTAAGCCAGCATGGCTATATAGCGCTTGGAAGTTATATGAGGACAGGATAGGAGCTGGGATATGAGGACAGGATAGGAGCTGGGATATGAGGACAGGATAGGAGCTGGGATATGAGGACAGGATAGGCGCTGGGATATGAGGACAGGATAGGCGCTGGGATATGAGGACAGAATAGGAGCTGGGATATGAGGACAGGATTGGAGCTGGGATATGAGGACAGGATAGGAACTGGGATATGAGGACGGTGCCCAACCCCTTTGAACCATTAGGAATCGACCTTGCAAGGAGCGAAACCTTCGTTCTATCAATCAGTCCAAGTGGATAGGACATAAAATTATCAAAACGTATTTCAATATTCACGCTGCACCCACACATTCCCACACTTCAATTCAAGATAATACTGATATGAAAACACGTAACTCGATAACATTATAGATATATATATATTAAGAATTCTGTAAGTATATCCGATTGGCTATGACAAATACAGTATTTTAATAATTGCTCCCACTAGGTATAAAATACATCATACAATTTATGTATCATAACCACTATAATAACACACACGATTGTTACATGCATCGCACCATCAAATGTAACAGATAATTATATATAGGTAACGAACTTGCTAAATTATGTTTTTCATTATGTACAAACGAATTACTAGTTACATTAAATGGTTGATATAGCAGCACAATCGTCTCTAGGTTACAGAGATTTCAACATGACTGTATCTTTTGACTGTAGCACGCTGTAACATGTCACAATTCTGACGTTTACAGTACTGCATTTTTATTGAGTCTTGACTTACGATTCTCGCTAAAAAAAAAATACAAGAAGCATACATAAGGGGGTTCAGAAATTGCTATTACTATTCACAAAATATACATTCCAAAATACGAGTCCAAAAATGTAGCAATGCTTTCCAAGATCCATTTATTTCCTATTAATTTTCATAGAAAATTGGCTGTCGTTGTCCTATCACATTTGGATCATATATCAACACCACAACTATGAATATAAATAGACAATTTGCCAATTTTTGCTCGTGTTATGACCCTACAGCACAACTGTTGTGGCCATCTTTATGTGCATTAACAAATATGGATCAATTTGATCAATATATTGATCAGTTTGATGAGAGTGAAGAGTATAGTTTAAAATGCAAGTTAATCCCAATGACAACAAAGAATGTCATGGTCACCATGACAATTATATAGAGAGCACTGTCTATCTCTCCTCGTCCCTTTACCATACAAATATTTAAAAAAAAAATTAATTAAGATAGCAAAGCTAAAATGGTTGACATAAAAAGTTGTAAATTGTCATATATATACATTTAAATTTAGCTTAACCATTTATTATTATTTTCATATCCTATAACGTCACGCCCTTCATAAACGAGTAGACTCGTTTGGGCACAAAGTTTTATGCAACGTGCCGGATAAGTTAGGCTGTAATGACTGTAAGCTTCTTAAACTTTAAGCAACAATAGCTCGGCTGATCATCACCCAGGAGTTCTCAGGCTTGTCTGTAAAAGCAAACTAAAATACCTCTCGAAACCCGGTAAAGGTAAAACCTGGCTGTTGTGCCGCAAGCTCATAACACAAGATAGTTTTTTGGGTGGCAATTAAGCAGTTCCAGACCACGCCGAGAGCATGTGTTGACTTTCTAGGCTACTAGAAAGTAGCAAAAGTAGGCTACTAGCAAACCAGTTATGCACGCTAGTTGCTGCTAGATAATCTTTTCAGGCAAGCTATAGCTGGTGCTAGATTACCATTTCAGGCAAGCTATAGCTGCTGCTAGATAGCCAATTATGCCCTCGAGAAGATCTGCACACTTTAGTTGCCAGACCTGACGAACGAGCGCCTGAAAGCTGGTATGCTTGTCCTAGTTCCTTGTGATGGCTTAGAGGAGGCGGAGGTAGAGGGGTCCGTTGCAACGGGGTCCGTTCCAACGGGGTCCGTTCCAACGGGGTCCGTTCCAACGGGGTCCGTTGCAATGAGAGCTTCGTCGATTGCATCTACTGGAGCGTCAGCGGGAGAGTCAACTGATACAGCAACGTCCTTAGTGATGATCGGAACGGAGTTGCTCGCAGCCGGGGCCGTGTCTGAGACAAAATCTGGTGAGGGAACCTCTCCTCCTTCGGGGTATTCATAGTAGTATTCATATTCATCAGGAGCGACGGTGGTTGTGGTTGTGGTGGGTCGCTTGCGACGGATAGCTCCCGGCCTGTCAGGGAGAGAGAGAACGTGAGAATCATCTTGTTGTCGTGAGAATATTCAAGTAAGCGTGAGAACTCTTATTCCGAAACTCTTGAGTCTGAAACACATATACACACACACACAAAAACTGAGTTCTGAGAGTTTTGAGTTTTTATTATGAGTAATGAGAGAAAATGACAACAATCAAACACGATAGAAAGGACTGGGTACACTGCATTTTCCTGGATTGCCAGAATGCTTTTGACATTGTTCCTCATAGAGGACTCCTTAGCAAAATGGAAAACAGGCTGGTGTGTCGGGAAATGTACTTAAGAGGGTGAAGTGCAAATGCTCGATCCTGCAAGCTCAACTAGGAGAGTACACAAACACAAAAAAAATATCCAGGGAGAAAATAAACATAAAATAAAGAGTATACAATAACAAATACAATTAAAACAATGAATTGGAATAAGATGTTAAACGTGATAAATATCTTATATGAAGTGACCCGTGTTATAAAGCTCTTGAAGCTCTTATTGTAGGGACTTTTAGATAGACCATTATCTTCATTGTACAATGAAAATAATGAATGAAATGTTCCATGAATTACCATTCATGGAACATTTCACAATGACATTTCATTGAACATGTTAGAGGGAGCCTCCAGGGAACATTTTAACCTAATGTGGTCCTTTGAAAGTAGAACTCATTACAATTTGTAAATTCAAGAAAGCATTTTGATTGGATTTCATCTTCCAGAAAGGTTTTAGTGACAAACGTGTTTAACAATATTTTCAATCTTTAAGAAAGCCTTTAGAGTGACCTTAATTCCAAGCTATATAAATAGATTGACCTTATCATACAAAGAGTACATGTGGAAAGACACTTCAACGAACCTTCTTAATTGACTATAATGTTAAAGGCTCATTTTAGAATTACAATTTGCCTAATTAACCCTTACGGAGTAATCCATATATCGAACGAATCTTCTATAATACATTTATCCTCTAGAAATCCTTTTGGGTCTTTAAAAGGAACTCCAAGGAACTTTGATGTACTTTGTCTCCAAAGAACTTTAAGAAGTATCCACTACGTTATGAAACAACTTCCTTACGTGACCTGAATCTTCCTCAAAATCTTCCTCCTTTGCGAGCTTCAAGAACAACCTCTAAATATTACTAGAGAGTAATACAACTCACCTGCGCTGTTGGGGTTGCTGTGTGGGCTTCCTGATGCTACTCCTCACGGGTTTGATGGCTTCAATGAGGGGAGAAGCCGTCGTGGCGGCACGCTGAAGCGGTGCCTTGGTCCCTTGTTGGATTCGAACCCGGTCTCTGAATTTCGGGACGTCGTAGCCGGCGCCAATAGCGGCGGCGATGATGTCGGCGCTCATCTTGCCAGGGTCCTTCTCCAGTGTGGCGAAGTAGTCATCGAAGTACTCGGTGTAGTAGTCAGAACTGGAGGATGAGAAAGAGGGGGAGGGGGGATGATTCACTTTGTATGACACCCGCAGTAAATGTTGATTCATGGACCGTCACTCCATAGATTGATACACACTTATTTCTCTTATTCCTCACCATTCACCTCTCTCTCTCTCTCTCTCTCTCTCTCTCTCTCTCTCTCTCTCTCTCTCTCTCTCTCTCTCTCTCTCTCTCTCTCTCTCTCTCTCTCTCTCTCTCTCTCTCTCTATCTCTATCTCTCTCTCTCTCTCTCTCTATCTCTCTCTCTCTATCTCTCTCTCTCTCTCTCTCTCTCTCTCTCTCTCTCTCTCTCTCTCTCTCTCTCTCTCTCTCTCTCTCTCTCTCTCTCTCTCTCTCTCTCTCTCTCTCTCTCTCTCTTATCCTTGGCTTCATCTCTCACTTCTTTCCTCTCACCTGTCATTCCTCACCTCTCAACCCTCATTTACCTGCCTCATCCCACTCCTCTCTCTCATCGCTAACTACATTTCACATCACTCATCTCTCTCATCTCTCACCAATCTATCGGTTCTTGGACACACTTCTTTCCATATATATATCAACGCCCTGACAGGAAATTGAGTAATTCATATCTCTATTTGTGACCAATACAAAACTGACGAGAAGACTTAAAAGCAAAAATAACTTCATATGGTTACAAGAAAACTTTTCACGTACTTAATAAATGTTCGGTAAGATAAGTGCTGGACTTAAGAAATGTAAAGTAATGAAGACAAGAGTGATAAAAGACATCAGTGACATCACAGGGACCTATCTCACAGGAGGTGAAGATAGGTCCCAGGATCACAGACCAAAAATCTGTGTCTGGCTAACATATTTAACCCCAAAGCTAACCTCTGTGGAACATGTTTACAATGTAACATCAGCAGCATTTGTGAAACTGGGTGATATTCGAAGAAACTACAAAAAAGATATAAGACCTATACAAGAAGATACAAAGAGGAACCTAAGTAATCACAGTCATTGCATTAACTGACCAGATATCGAAAAGTCGGAACTAGGGAATGAACACTTGACCTAATAAGCACACATTGGCTAACGCACATAAGGTGCGTACTCGTTAATTCCTGAAAACAGCTGAAACACGCGATGCGTACCACTCTGGGACGTCCTTGGGCGACTCGCAGGTGGTAGTGTTGTTGTTGAAGACCTGGCCGAAGGCACAACCGTTTCTCCTGGGGGTCTGACCGTTGATACACACGTAGAAGTACTGACAGTCGTGGGGGTCAGCGTAGCGTGGGTGGGACACCGCCACGTCCAACCCCACTTTGGGACACGTGAAGTTCTGCTTGTCTGTGAACAACGGTAAAAATAAATTACTACAGAAGTGATGCAGATTATAACAGGTCGGAGGAAGAGGCATTATAATGGATGGTGGGGGAGATAAAATTACAATAGATTGTATTGAGTTGAATAGCGATAGATGAGGGGGGGATTACAGCAAGATCTTCGCTATGTTGGCAGCAGCCAACACGAGTATCGTTCAGACTAGTATAGTCACAGTCAATACCATTGTGTTAAACGCATCCGAAACGACCTAAAGGAGACCCAGGTGTGTGTGTCTTATCTCAGACTGAGATGCAAGATGCTGAGAACTTCCTGGGCGTTGATTAGAGTACCTGGACACAGGTATGATGACCTTTGAACCTTCAATATAATTAGTTACGATACTGGTTATCGAATCAGATTAAATAAAGCTAAATAAAGTAAACGTGAATGCAGTGACTTATGAAGGGTAGATTTGATTATATATAGTAGAATATCTTTGGAGAAGGGCATTGGGATCCAACTGCCGTCTTGGGTTAACCCAGAGTAAATATTGTGTTGTTGTATTGATCAAAGCATTCGCTAAACTGAATGTTAGAGATAATCCTGTTCAGTAAACAAGTAGTGTTTATACTGCGCCTTGTAATATTCCATTCTATAATATTTCCAAGGGGAAAATTAACGAGGTAATAAATATAGCAACACAAAATAGAACATTAAACAATGAAAATAAATTGGATCAGTTTATATTCAGGCAAGACCTGGGTAAATACCGGTTTGGAAACAGGATTGTTGTTTTGTGGAACAGATTACTGGGTAATATAACAGACGTGGGATCCCTTGATTGTTTCAAGTGTAGGCTAGACACACACACACACACTCACACACACACACACACACACACACACACACACACACACACACACACACACACACACACACACACAAATATACATATACATATATATACATATATATATATATATAATATATATATATATATATATGAAGAAGCTTGAACGGATATTAGCAAGAAATTCCTTAAATGGGCCAACAGTCCTTCTACAATTTCCTTAACTGGTATGTTATGCACCACTGTGTCACTCTGTGCATTCATTACTCAACAAGAGTCAAGGGTCAAAGGTACTGAGAGGTGTGGTGTGTCTTGTGTATATCCGATTGGCTGTTTATTTTTGTCTTCATATTTGCAAAGGACTAAATTATACTTGCTTATTGGTTCCCAAGATATTTTGGGTCAATGGCCTTGAGTGTCCTATCGTGGCTGATCGGTTTTAAGCCTTAGAAGGACTCGAAACCATTCCCTGTTATCACAAAGGCATTTTAATGTATTTTTTCAATTTAAACTGATGTCTCTGATGGCACTTTGTTCATGTCCAAAACCTATAACATCCAGAACTCACAACATCCAGGATATCATGGCAACATCCTGGATATCATGGCAACATCCAGGACATGTTGACATAAGACAAAAAAAGCATCGCATCCCAATTTAAAAGTCACCAAAGGCCAAGGCTTATTGGACTGCTCTCGAAACTGGTTTAAATGTCCTAACGTAAATGTAGAAGCCTTTTTAGAGACTGCAATATTTACAAGTACAAATAAGACGGAGTTCGAGTACTTATATTGAAATTCCGGTTTAATCCTAAAGTTTAAATGGCGACCTTTAAATGCCGGAATTGAATGCCAAACTTAAATGCCAAGGTTTAAAAGGCCGAGTCTAAATACCATAGTTAGATGTTAAGATAACCGAATTTGAAGGCAAAGATTGAGAGGATTGGAAATAACAACATGCTAATCATCCAACGATATTTATATTATTAAGTCTTAATATTGACTTTCATATGGAGACTTTTAATTGTGAAAGACGACGTCTGAAAGGCAAGAATTAGATTCAAGAGAATAAAGAGCTATATTTTTCACTAAGAAACCAAAGGTAATGAAAATAGCACTTTGATTGTATGGTTTCACACAAAGGTTATTAATATATGTGGATGAGTTTGGATGGATATAAGATGGATATATAAGCTGCCTCGCATGGGTCAATATATCTTTTGCAGTTGCCCTTATTTGCAAGTTCCAGTAATATTAATATTTGCAAGTTCCAGTATTACTAATATAATCTAGCTTGAGTCTTTAACCAATGATAGGTTCAAAAAGTCGTCTAGTTCTAGTTTAATGATTATTGGGTAGCTAGCATTAAACAATTTGCTTCTGTCTTATATGATTTGACATATTGAAATACATTCTTCAAAAATGTTGGAGATGGGTGTTATCTTTGAAATTATTTACGGGGAAATTTTGATGTGGTGAATGGCCATACCCTTGGTAGGATCTCCTCTTAATACAGTGACACTATTGTGGCAGTATTACACAGTGACAGTATTACACAGTGACAGTATTACACAGTGACAGTATTACACAGTGACAGTATTACACAGTGACAGTATTACACAGTGACAGTATTACACAGTGACAGTGTAAAACAAAGTGTTGTCCTTCTGTCAATTGTTCCCTGAAATATCTGCATTAGAGTAAGTAACTTACATGTACTTTTCACCAAATTCATCAACGCATCATCACTTGCTTGAAGGCAGAAAAAGTTATACAAATTTCTAGTACATTTTTTGGTATTGGAAGGTTAACCTGAGAGGTTTAGTTAACTGGTATGAAATTTGTGTGTTTTCATATGGCATAATAATTTCATGTTTTCCTGTGAATTATTGCTAGAATACGTACACAGAGAATGAAAAGAAGCACACACAAAAGTAGGATATAATGTGAAAGGGGAAATATATTCGTAGAGGGAACATATGTATAAGGAAGAAACGCATTGGAAGAGGGGAGATATAGATGAGGGAACGTGAATATAGAAGGGGAAAGATAAGACGGGGAATCATCAAGGGAGAAGATAAGGAGTAGGGAATTAAAATTGGCGAAAAAGGGATTAAGAGTGGGATTAAGAATAATAATGCAGTTATAATACCGACACAAGTGTGACGATAACAAGAGCAGTTTTGATCACACACACACACACACACACACACACACACACACACACACACACACACACACACACACACACACACACACACACACACACACACACACACACACACACTAGGCGGGATCCAAGAGTCAATGCTCGATCCTGCAAGCGCAAATATGTGAGTACACACACACACACACACACACACAACACCCTACCACACACACACATACATGCAACTTTCCATCACATCCATACACATACACAAACAGCATCCCCCTTCCCCCTCCCCCCCATATCCCCTATATACACAGAAATACAACCCCCCCTTCTCCAAAAACATCAGACTCCAGTACCTCCATCGTCACACACACACAGAGCTGTACTTACTCTCCTTGTGGCAGTCCTTCCTGCCGGACTGGTCGGGCCAATCACAGATGCCAGTCTCCAGAGCAAAGGCAAGGCCCTCAGGGCAACTGATGAGGGAGCCGACACCGTCCACGCAACGGTAAGCGTCCTGGCAGTTTGGGCTGTCCTTGGGAGCGAAGTTCCCGTTCTGACGGTCGCAGTGTTCCGTGGGTTGTGGCGGCTCTGAGGGGGTAGGTACATGGTTATGAGGTTAGGATGAAAAATATGACAAATTCATACATATATCAACAATTCATGCTCCCCCTCCTCATCATCCATCTTCCGTTCCCGAAAAGGAATTGCAGAAATGTGTTCAGAGGTTTTCGAAAATCACGTTTCGCATTTAATGTAGTGCTGAACGATGTTCGAGATTGAATAGCTTGTTGGACGGTCAGTAAGGTGTTGAGGTTGGTTGAGCCTTTATAATCTAATATCAAAATGTCCTGTGGTCGCCCTATGTAATGTGGTATCTTCAGGCAACCATGTTAGACAGGTTAAATATCCCGAAAGGAATCCACAGGGAAATAACAGTTCGGTTCTATAGACTACGTCTAGGTTACAGATGCAACTGGGAGATTGGTGAACCCCGACAGAAAGAATGCATCTTCTGCCAAACAATCACAGAAAAGTCACTACTTCACTATCTCCTGAAATGTCAAGCAACCAACGACCTTGGATGAGCTTTAAGAGTCTCTCAATGTTGCAGTAACCACCTTGAAGCCATCAACACTGCCACTCTTCTTGCCAAAAAAAAGGTGTCCAGCAGCTGGACACCCTCATACTGTCGAGCAGTATCCTTCCCCACGTTAGCAGCCACATAGTAAGGACTGACAGTTTCAATGCGATTTAGCTCACAGTATATCCTTTCACGACCAAAGATCACATTCACTCCAAAAAATCTACCACTTACGGGCTATTCATGCCCGTGCCACCTCTTGGGTGGGTTAATCTTATAGATAGACCATCTCGTAAGGAACATGATGTCCAAGCACCAGCAATGTCGTTTCAGAGAAGTATTGTCTGTCAATACAACAGGAAAGAGAAGGATGGACTAACTGCATCTTCCTGAACTGGCATAAAGCCGTCGACAATGTACCACACAACCGGCTCATATACAAACTGGGAAATCAAAGACGAATAACAGGAGATTCAGTAACGGGGCAGAAGTTGGCATAGAGATAAATGAAAAAAGTGGAGTAATACAGGAATGGACTCGGGGACGCATTCTGATCTCCATATGTGACCGATTTAAGTGAGATATTGGGGTCTTAATGGTCATTCTTAGATGCTGCATAGACTGGTGAAGGATTACTTAAAACTACAGGATTACTTAAAGATTCTACAGAGATTGAGAAATAGTTGATGGGCTTCGATACTGACCCATACCTAATCCTTATCCTGATCCCTTCCAAGTGCTATATTGTCGTAATAGCTTGGCACTTTCTCCTGCTAGTTCCTTCCCCTTGGTAAACCTCTGTCAGGAAGGAAAATGGACTGTTATGTAAATGAGGTCCCCCCCCCCTAAGCCAAGGGCAAAACTGCCCCCCGTACATTTACCCATTTAGTTACTCTTCAGCCCAAAGTATGCCTACCGTGATTGACCGCGTGACACGCATCAATCAACGTACCACGGACATACTACGAACAAAATACAGTTCCCAAAGTCAGAAAAGGAGATAACAAAAAAAATCTCGTTTCAATCATAACGCCAGGCCTTGTGCCGGATGCTTATATCAACACGATAACATTAATGGCATTTTCAAAGCTTGAAAACATCCTAGAGCATTCAGGAGCCTGGAAAAAACAAATGTCTAATCCATATATACTTCTTAGGATAGACCAAGTACCGTAAATATGGATTCTCCTCATGCACACGTCTTCGTAAGAAATACAAAAACAAAGTCTAGTAATTTGTCATATGACCTGAATCTGAGATTAATATAATATAATTAAAAGGCTAAATTAAATTTACCTTACAACATTATAGAAAATCAGACGTGTTGGGGGGTAATGATCACGATATATAAGATTCCCAAAGGAGTTGACGAGCTTGGGGAAACATGAGACGAAGAGGCATGAAAGCTATGGACGCAGTAGTCACACACACACACATGCTAGGAGGCAGTAGTCACACACACACATGCTAGGAGGCAGGCGTCTCATTGGGGAAAAAGTAGACATACTTAGAAGGGTGAGCGCGTCGAGGTTAACACCATTCACAGTTATAAAAACAAGAATGATTTAAGAACGGGAGGTCCAGCAGCTGTTCCGTCAAGTGTCCAACAGTACTTATTCTTGAACACGATAATTTTATCATTATGCATTGTTCTCATACTGTTATTATATTGTTCTTATTAATGTCGTTATTCATCGCTTTATTCACTCAAATAAAGGGAAAAGTGCTTAATATATATATATATATATATATATATATATATATATATATATATATATATATATATATATATATATATATATATATATATATATATATATATATATATATATATATATATATATATATATATATATATATATATATATATATTTCGATCGTCTCTCTCTCTCTCTCTATCACCTGTTTTCCATGTATATTTTTGCACCTTTTCTTTGTCAACATTGTTTTGTAATCTACATATTTAAGTTCCTAATGTCGTTCCCATTCGCGTCACTTGAGACCTTTTTCTAAACTCGGGAGTGGCTTCAAACACTTAATTATTATTTTTTAATAGTGAAGGTTTGAAAAATAATGATCGGTTCTCTGTCTGTGTCTCACTCTTCCTCCCTCTGTCTGTCTGTCTGTCTATCTGTCTGTCTGTTTGTCTGTCTCTCTCTCTCTCTCTCTGTCTGTCTCTGTCTCTCTCTCTCTGTCTCTGTCTCTGTCTCTGTCTCTGTCTCTCTCTCTCTCTCTCTCTCTCTCTCTCTCTCTCTCTCTCTCTCTCTCTCTCTCTCTCTCTCTCTAGTTTTGCCATGACTCTCAGGGTGCTGACCCATAGAGCACAGTGGAGTGCGAGACGCGAATAGCGGGCCCCTCTTGAGTCCAGGAGCAGTGGGTAGGTTTTTATAGACAAGTCTACCCCAGAGACAGGAAAGGGCAGAGGCCATGGCTTTTTGGTGTGTGCGCGAGAGAGAGAGAAATAGCGCCCGCATGACCTATTAGCGTTTGCCTAAGAGTGACTACTAAGGAGTGACGTTCAAGTTTGTTTTCGTATTTGACCTCAAAGTTGTGGCTGGAGGTGGCTTCCACAACTTCTTTTTCCAGTGAATTTCACCTGTTGACCACAAGTATTAGAATATAACTCATTTGCATTTCCATTTCTCACATAATGTCCTCTTCTCCAGTTTTTTAGCACTACAAAGAGGTTGTTTTTTTTTAATTTTCCCTATTTCTCACAGTATCTTGTATGCAGTGATCATGTTCCCTTCGCACATTTCAAATTTAGTTTTTGTGATTCACGATGCGCTCTAAACTGCAGACGACAGTTCGTAAGGAGCTGTAGGCCTGCTCAGAAAGATTATGTAGGCCGTAGGCTCTAAGACCTGCACATTGCATGAACCTAATTGCGTTATAGTGACGTCACGCACCAAGTGCACACTATATCAAAAGCACATTGTACCTTATAGCGTCGTTAGAATAGGTTCGGTTATGTTTGGAGAGAATATGCTCCGTTGGATTGGTTTGGGTTAGGATTAGTTTGTTTATAGAGTAGATTTGACGTAGATACTTTTCTCTCAATACGATTTAGATAAATTTAGATAGATTTTTTAGATAAAAAAGGTAAATACTTTTCTCAAGTCTTAGTCTCTACTCAGTGGAGAAGATAATTATAAACATAAATGGATGACAGAACTAATGCTTTGTCATGGGTATTCACCAAGGCTTCAAGGGAAGCAAAAGTCCTGCTTAACCAAAGTTCCAAAGTTTTATTACAAGAAGATGATAGATCTTGGGCAGGAGAGGAAAGGCTAGGATAGCTGCTTATTCCTTGACTGCCATAATGACTCTGGCATAATGCCCAATAAAACGATAATCAGCAAAACCAAGGAACATTGGGGTTGTATCTCGGAAGGGCAAGGATTAATTTGAAAAATATGAGGCACAGAAAATCCTCATCAATGATTTTCTCATTGATGCATAACGTTAGTGTGATTCGTTTCTGCGTATGAGATAAAAAGCAGTAAAAGAGGAGTCAAAAATAGGAAGACCTTAAATTGATTTCTGGAGTCTTACTAGTTGTAATATACTCTGTGATGTCGAGGATTACCTAAAATGTGAAACTACCGAGGACAATATTAATGAAGAAAAACTGTATAAGGCGGCATGAGGATATTATAGGGTGGATACTAGACTTCAACCCCCGACATGTGCAATATGACGAGGATTGAAACGCAAGGAGTTTGGATCATCCCCCATCCCCCAACACACTTATGTTCTTATATACAGACGAGGAGTCACAATAACGTGGCTGAAATATGTTGACCAAACCACACACTAGAAAGTGAAGGGACGACGACATTTCGGTCCGTCCTGGACACCATTCTCAAGTCGATTGTGAGAATGGTCCAGGACGGACCGAAACGTCGTCGTCCCTTCACTTTCTAGTGTGTGGTTTGGTCAACATAAATAAATATATCATTGACATAATATAATTTGTAAATCGCGGAGGACAGAGCCGGAATTATTATTAGCTTAATAAATCCGAACATCAGTATTTAGAGCTGAGAAAAGCATAAAACCGACATACGTTTCTTCTTTCATACTTATTCTCTGTTGTCATAGATTCAGCTACTCGGAACAAGTTCCAAGTAGCACGGGCTATTGTGAGCCCGTAACTTACCTGGCACAGGAGCGGGGCAAGTAGCACGGGCTATTGTGAGCCCGTAACTTACCTGGCACAGGAGCGGGGCAAGTAGCACGGGCTATGGTGAGCTCGTAGTGGACTTACCGGGCACAGGAGCGGGGCAAGTAGCACGGGCTATGGTGAGCCCGTAGTGGACTTACCGGGCACAGGAGCGGGGCTGAAACTTCGTACTTATTCTCTGAACTGTTGTTACTTCTAGACTGTGCTAAGCTACTCCATATCTGCTTCTGGTTACATCTTTTCCTTGGGGATGGGTGGTCATTTCTGCGACCTGACCACCCATCCCCAGTGAGAGATGCCTGTCTCCAGGGAAAGATGGGAGAGA